ACACACACACACACACCTCTTCTGATGTTCTACAATAACAAACTTTTAATACAGCAAGGTATATTTATAGCTTGCTATCAGTCTCTTCAGCATTTATTTGCTCCATGCTCTATTTTGCTGACTAGCTTGTACTGAAAAATACAAGGGCAATGTTTTTCTTTTCATATTTTCCTTACAGACAACCATTAGTGGAAAATAAAAGCTAAATACTCATTACTGCAAGAAAATTCATATTCATATTTTTTTTAAATCTTGTTAGCTTTTCTTTTCATGACATAGCAGTGGTTTGACACGGGTGGGCTAAATACGGACTCAGGAGGTTATCCCCTGGGTTGGTTGGCAAAAGCTCATATTAAAATCCTAAATTAATATTGCTTGCATTTCCCTTTGCTTCCAGTAAATACATTATTTTATAGGAATTGTAAGGGTGAGGAGTTAATACTCAGTAGGACACAGAGGGACACGATTACTGAGCATTTACAGTTGAATGGCATTTTTATACTAATAGGATTGGTTCATTTGAAGATTGACAAAATATTCTTTTTTCACGGAAGATGGTAACATTTGAATTTGGAGAACTAAAGGTCTGCAATAGTGCTATGCAGTATTCATTATACTTTCTTTTGTACAATATTTTGTCAGTAGCCCAACTTTACCATTTCATTTTAGTGCAAGAGAGGATGGCACAGTTTATACCTCAAACTCTGCGTGTTTGTGGACGTCCTCTGCTCTCTGTCTGTTCAGGATGAACTCAGCCTCGTTGGCAACCCGAACTATGTGGTCCTTCATGGCATGGCAGAGCAACCTTTAACATTGCAGAGAAAGTTAAATGCAGCAGACTCTGCATTTCCACATACACATTATCATTAATTAGGAAATACATAATTTTTATTAGCTAAAATCTGTTGAAATGACACTAAGGAATATAGCTTGCCAGGATCTGGCAACATTTGGCTTGTTGAAAGAGCAGACTAGTAAACAGCATCATTTGTCTGCGTTATGTTGCAAGGCTGCAGGTCAGTGACAGATCCCTCTGTAGCATTAAGGAGGGAATGGAGTGTCATTAGAGCATCGAAGCCTGTCTGGCATACTCCTGATTGACTGAGCATCCTTTCCCGCTGACCAGAACATCAACCCTGGGCCTGTATTGCTGACAAGTCTGGCCGTGAACAACTTCTCACATGGCTGACTCTGGAGGCTCCATGGTCTCCACCCACATTCACATTTAAATTCCAGTATCTTTAATAATTGAAAACACCCTGACTATTGTGTGTAGATTACATGCCATTTTACACACCATTAGGCTAGCTTTGTTTTAATTAAAGCATCCCCTGTTCCTCTCCAGTGCTTGATACAGATTGTAATTTCCCTTCTGTCCCAAGGAGAGGTAGTAATCCCGAGGCTGCATTCATCAGCTGCTATTGCCTCTTTAACTGTTGACAGGCATTCATTAATAGACAGACATTCACTCTTCAAAGACAGAAGCTGACAACGCCAAGCTTTGTTTTGAAACCAAGAATAGATGAGAAAACACGCTGAGGAGTGATATTTGATATTTGAACATAGAGAAAAAGATAGGCACGCTCTCTACCACACTTTTGCATTAATATTTCACAAAACACTAATCAATACAAGTACTGATTTAACGTGTGCTGTAAATGAAAAAAAGAACACACAAACAGTTTGGAGACAGATATTCTTTATATCTATCTCTATGAGAACACTAAAACTGATGGAAGTGTTAAATTTGTTATTATCAGATTGAGTTTCAACCCGTTTTATGTTGAATGCCTCAAAGCACCATATTTTTTGTATTTACACTATTCAGGGATGAACACTGTGACCCATGTAGCTTTTACTTTTGAGGCTTAAAGAAGTTAAAAGAGCTGTATGCAGAAAATAATACTGCATGTATTTATATATACTGTTTCAACATGGAAACCTGAGGTCGTCCTCTCTCGTGGATGGTGGCTTACAGCTACAGTCATGATAGAGAGGAGCTGGGGTAATAATGAAGTGATCAGTTTACTTTCAGTTTACTTTAATCAGGGAATTGTTTGCCTGTTTGATAGCAGCTTTGCAATCTAACAGCTGCATCATAAAACAAAGTAACAGCATTTGAACCCGCTGTATGTGTTGCTGCATACACAGCAGATACACTGTCATCCACGTCTTGTAAGGCAAACCAGACTCTAGCTACCTCTAGATCTGTCTAGTTAAGCAGAACAGGTGTGCAGAGACTTGAATAAGACTAGGAAATGATGCGTCTGTCAGCAGCACCCTGGACAGCGCCGTGTGGCCCTACTGACTGAAGCTCTTTGTTCCAGGGCCAGCAGGGGACTCAGAGAAGCCTGGCTGGGCTGCGGCAAGAGCCTGGGCACAGAGAAGGCCTGGCCAGATGGGTCAGCAGATGGACAAGGAGGCTGAGCCGCCCCTGATCTGCTCTAGCTCTACGGACAACCCTGAGTATGGCCACACCCAGAGACGAGAGGAAGAGGGAGGGGGAAAGAAAGAGATACACAGACACTGGGATGTACAGTAAAAAGGGCAGAGACAGAGATATAAGAAGGCAGAAAATAAAAGAGGGTGACCGCAGTCTAGTGTTGATATTCTTACTTCATCCAGTCACCACATTCTCATTTACCGTTACCCCCTACAGAGCAGCCTACAAGAGGCTTAGAGTTAATCTATGCCGTGCTACTTGGTCCGTTTTACAGCCGCCAGGGAGAGGAAATATTTTTTTTTAAAAGCAAATACTGATAACAGCAGGATGAATAAACTACTGCTTGGCTGACTGATTTAACCTTATTTATCACAGTGAACGGATACATTACCTTCCTTCGTTGATTAACTCAATGAAGGCCAGGCCAGCATTCTTCTGAATGGAGTTCTGCCACTCCTGAAATGAATTGAAAATTAAATGAAAATTTGTTTCGGGCGGCAAATGGTTTGGTAAAAGTTCTGAAGAAAAACACAATATAATTAGATCCTCATAATCAATATTATATGTGGGTTTAAGGGGAAAAAAAGGAATGTCAATATGGCCAGTTTTCCCCCACAAAAAAAAGAAGCAATGACAGTAAAAAAGTTCAAATTAGTATCAAAATACTTCTGAACATCTTTCATAAATGCATGACTCACACAAGAATCACATTTCACCACCCAAATTGCATATTTCAACTGTAATTTAGATTACATTTCATGGCTTGTAATTCAAGTAGGTAAAGAAAGCATTTAGGTCATATATCATTTGAGAAAAAAGTGATCGCTATAAAAAGCTGAAATCCTGCACAGCATGTGTGACCATCCTTTCTTCCTCTGTGAAAAGATCTGTAAACACAGGAGAGATGTAATTGTGGGATGAAACTGTATCCTCTCACTTAAATACAGCCATTTCCCCTGTCCCTTACAGTGACAGATTACTGAGCAGGCTCACTGAGCCCCGCACTATACTCCTGGAAGGGATCCGAGCCCTGGGCCAGAGTGCCAGCACTTGCTGTCTCACAACATGCTCTGGAAATGATTAAAAAGCAGTTTGAGAGCGCTCCTTTCACTGTGGGAAATTCAGCTCTCCTGTGCCCTCACTGAGGTGCAAATGGAAGAGAAAACAGAGAAGGCCACAGTTCAAAAGAGGAGGGAAAACAGAGGAAAATGAAAAGAAAAAGGTTTCCATTCCTAAGGGCTACTAATGTATATGCAATTCAAGTCTATTCACAAATATAGAAGAGCCTTTGAATGGGACCTGCCATTTAAAATTTCGAGTAATTAATAGTTTTTCACCAGAAAGTATACATGGAGATATATAATCTTTAGTTGTACATGCAAAACGGTGATATACACTGCTTGTTCTATGTCAATGTCTGGACAAGGTAAACGGAATTTGTTGTGTATAGTACCAGCATAACTGACATTGACATTATTATGTATGGGCAAGTGTTTTTGTACACAGTTGTCGTGCCTGACACATACCGGTTCATGCAAGAGTACACAGTCTGACCCTACGATGCGTTAAATCAGAGAGATGGTGCTGACAAACTGCTGAGCATCTGGTCTCCAAATGTTCCCCGTGACCCCCTTCCACTGCAACAGTATCTGCCTGGAATAAGCTGTTCTTGATTTGGACAGGGATCATGTACAGCCAGTCTTCTGAGGTTCCACTTGCACCGTGCTCACGTGACAAAAATAAATACGGAAATCAAGGCAGATGTGACACTTGGGCGTTGCCAGGAAAATGGCAGCAGGTCAGTGGAGGTATAGCATGAACTAGTCAAATTTGCTATCTTGTCTCAGGTATGCTTGGTGACAGCTGAGATAGCACTTCAGAGGCTCGCTTTTTTCTTGTCTTTTTTTACTGGAGAACAGAGCTCCCAGAGGAGGCTGCCTTTGATTGCAGGGATTTTAAAAAAGTCCTCTGCTACCCATTTGAAGGGAATTAGGCCTGACGTGCAGCTGCTTAAAAATGAGATGCAATCCTTGATGTAAATGCAGACCATGATCAGAGAGCAGCACCTCTGGTCACTGGAAGTTTGTTTAGTAGCTTGGATATGAAAAGCTTGGATTTAAAGCTGCCTTAAAAGAGCACCACAACAAACTGAAAAACAGCATGGACACATTATCTTATATTAGTCTCTGTGACTAACTTGTAAGCTAACAGTTGTCTACTTACATATCCAGCAGTCATGGTCAATGTAAGCATTCTCTTAGTTATGTGCATAAGTCCGTTGTTTACTTTCCACAAATGCCTGAGAAAAATAACTTTACACGCTGTTTTTAACATTGTGTTTGGTGTTGGACAGGTTGTATACAGTTTGTTTAACTGAGCTGTTTTGCTGAAAATAGCTGCCTTCTGCTGCTGTAAACAGTGTTAATGAGAGCGATGAAACATATGTAGAATGTAGAATATAGAATATATAGATGTTATAATAATAATATGGTAAATGTGTGTGTAAAACCAAACAATAGGCTAAAAGCAGCTAAAAAGCACTATAATGAGCCGGTAAATTCTTTGATACAACATGAAACACTGGACAGTCAATGATGATGCTGTAGGTTCACTTGGGGCAATGGTACCATACTTCCATTTATCTCTGAAAAAACCTTTTTGTGGACCTAAAATCCCACAACTCCCAAACCAGAGAACAGCTTGCCGACCTTCCTCTCCTCCCACTTTCATCTTCCTGAAATTCAGCAGGGCACTAAGTATTTGTGGTGCTTCAATCCAACCTGTCAGTGTGCGGGAGCCTTTGCTTTTATCTGCTCTGCTTTGCTCTGTTATACTCTCCACATCTGGAGGCCTTCCATCACTAAATCTCTGTGGCTCCACTCTAGATCCCCCCCTGTATGTTTAAGCTGTTACAAGAAACAGAGCTGCTTGACCTTTTCATTCAGCTGCCCAGGCTGAGGAGAGACACACAGTGTCTGCAGCCGTGGCCAGCCACACGATGATTGCTGTGATTAGTATGCATAAATAAGAAAAGGCAGATCATTAGCACTAATTCATTCATAAAACTGACAGGTCACTAAACAGAGAGGGACTAAAGGTCAGCTAAGTGCCCTCCTTGCTGTCTTAAAACATTAATGTTGAAATATGTGAGGGATACGTTGAAGTTGGCATTTTATAGTGATGTAAGCCAAAGCTCAATCTGCATCTGAGGAGACTTGCTGTGCTTTTTGAAAGCACTTTAGATTCACATTCATTTGGAGTATATTGCAATGTAATTAAATAATAATAATTATATTTGCTCATACTAAAGCAGCTCTGCATATATCAGCTTTGTCACCTGAAAGAAGTAATATAAAAGACACTGATAATCAATTATCCATCAGTGTGATTTTTAAATCATATTAGCTGGAAACATAACTGGATTTGTTACTGATGGTGCAGTATTATAATACAAAGCAATGGCTCATCTCCATCTGAAAGGTTGTAGAAGGACACCAAGCTATATGGTCCAGTTTCAAGGCCTCACTGTCTGATCGATATCTGAGCCTGGGTTTCATCCCCAGAGCCCATAATGGCAGGAACCTCTGGAGCTGCTGTAATGGTATCTGTGTAAAGGGGGGATGGACTCAGACCCTTAACAGCACGCTGACGCTCTCATCTGCAATAAATCCTAGAGCTGGAAAAAGCAACTTCCCACATATACTCTACAGACAGAAAGCAGCCCAAAAAGGAGCCTGTCAAAAACCTTCAAAAGAGCAACAATAACTCAATGCTGGCTGCTCCGTTTATGTACATTTTTTGGAGGAAAGCCCCTGAATAATGGCCTCCATATAATAGAGGCTGAGCTCCCTGCAGAAGAGGGCTTTGGACTGCGGATACCACAGAGCACACATAGTGGCAATCCACCTCCTCGAGGCTCTGGCCCTGCAGTCTGGATCCACAAAGAGGCACCAAGTAATGGCTTCCTTATGGGCTCCCGACGCAAGACTGATGGGCTGACAGAAGGTATGTTAAATATCTCCTGTTCTAACTGCTACATCGGGGCTTTGACCTTCTCTAAAACAAGGGCTTAACAAGAGATTCAGAGGGTCAGCTTGGAGGTGATCAGTCACTAGCAGTGGTGCATGAGCTGGGGCTCATTCTCTAAAGGAGGGCTCTGCATTAAAGCTGTGGGGTGTAGTGAGAAAGTCACTGGATTCTCAGAGAACTGTATGTGTATTTATGTCGTCATTGGTTTGGACAATTTGATGATGGGACAAAAAATTCAGCTTCAGTGGAGTTGAAATAACTTATTCTCTGATATATGATTTAGCTGTGATCTGCTCACAGCTGTGATTTAAACAAGCCTATTTTTTGTGTGTTTAAAATAAAGAGTTCTAGAGGTGAGTGAAACAGATTATTGCACTGTTCACATTGCCAGATTGTGAAACATGTCAATTTATAATAGACAAGAGGTTAAAGATCACCACATACTGCTGACAGATAACATCCTACCAAGAGTACCATGGTAGAGAGGATGCACCTAGAGAGAAAAAGACAACGAAAGGCTTGGAAAGAGGATTGTGAAGAGAAAGAGAAAGAAAAAAGCTCACCTGAGAACAAAGCAGCATGACAAGCTCCACCACTGAAGTGCTTGACTTCATACACACAAGACCTGTACAGACAAACCAGATGAGCAGCATTAGATTTTAACCACATAATGTATTTCTTAAGTGAATATCTGAGGGTATCAGTAGTTATTTTATGTGTTATGATAAATATTACTTATTTAAATTGATGACATACAGTATAGAACTTGGACAAAGCTATATTGTTTTTGGCATAAGGTACGTTTTAGGCAAAGTGACAAACAATTTGTCCCCCGTTTTGTGCTTCCAATTTGCCAATCATAAAACTGTAAAAAAAATAATAATAATAATTTGCATCTGCACAGAACAGATGTACACACACGTAAATGCGAGCTCCCCCTCCGCACACACACTCCCTTCACACATACACACACTCACAAAAGTGAACACAGACATTCACAGCTTCTTCCCTCATCTCCATTCTGTAGACGGTGAGCCGTAGAAGCCGACAACTCTCTAATGAAACAAGGGCAGGTGTGAAAAGCTCATTTGCAGAAACAATGGCTGCAACTGGTCTCGTATTCTGCACCTCCAGCTCCTTCTGTTGCACTTGGCAAGAACCATTAAAGGTGCAGTCATTAGTAAAGGAAAGAATGCAACTCTCTAGGACTCATTATAGGCTGGCAGGAGTAGAACTCTGTACCACAGGGCTGCCATTGTTTCATGGTCTGTGTCAATCAGAGGAGAGAACAAAATATTCTTATTCTAAGATTTTAGTAAACATTGCTGCACAAGTTGCAAATTGTGCAGTACAGCATCTACAATAACAAATAATAGATAATAAATTGACTGTTATCACAATGACTAATATCTAAAATTGGAAAATAGTGTGCTTTGCATCACCCTCAAAGATGAATCCATTGAAAACATTAGGGAGTGAGATGACACAGAAGACATCTGAATACTGAAGACTCCACACTGCATACTTCACTTCCTGACAAATGCAACAGTATATGCACCGTACTGTAGCTACACTGAATAAAAAGTTGAAAATAGGTATAAAACTTTCATTTACATTATAATATCAAATTTATATTAAAGACACAATCTGATGTCCAACTGTATAGTAAACAAAATTGTAGACCCACCATCTAAATTCAAAACACCATCAATGACTCTTACATTAGTAGGCAGGTCTTTTAATACAGAGACTAACAACAGCAAAACATATATGTTAATATCTGATATTACCATTCAGTGGAGAAACAGTAGTTTTGCTTGTGTAAATACTATACAATGTAACACGGAATGCAACATATTCAAGACACTGGATGGATGGATTTTTTGCTAGCTAATTCTACATCCATCTCTATTCATGAGCGGAGAATGTCCGAGCGAGCGTATTGTAAATACTCTGAGAGGATGTGACCCCTCTGTTGTACACAGAGTGCCACAGCCGACCTCTTGTTATAGCTGTGACATGCTGAGCCATAAGTCAGTTCAGTCTGACACAGGAGTCAGGTGGCCGACTGACCCTGGCCTTGTGCTGGTAGACAAACTAAATGCATTCTATTTAAACACGGCCTGCCAGTCCTTTCCTGTAAACAGGGCAGGGTTAAGGCACGGGTGAATGTGGCATTGTGGGGCAATGTGCCGGCAGACTGGGCCACTCAGGGGACAGCGAGAAGCAGGCGGCAGGCATCACAACAGCAGCAGTGTTCACACGCAGGCCTTACCCACCAACTCCAAGTGTAAGGCTCAGGGTGCACTCAACATAATTGCCGCAGTGACCACATGTCTTCAGGGGGGGTGAAGGAATAGGGTGAGGCAAAGGGGCACAGGGGGCACAGGGGGGCTCGACCCCGGGCAATCTAGGGAGTGATGGATGGCTGGTAATTACTGGTAAATGGAGCGCCTTTGCACTACAGCACAGTATTTCAACTGTGGGCCTGGGAAGGGCCAGGAAGAAAAGGAGAAAGAGAGGGAGGAACAGCAAAATCCCACACACTACAACTAGGACCGACCTGAGTGGCTTAATAAAGTGACATTTAAAGATTTACAGTGCATGTGGTGAATCTGTGCATTTGTTTTGACTGAAAAAATAGCTCTATTGCATGTCAGGGTGCACTTTTCACAGACCCAGACAGGGTTAAACATGTCTGGTGAAGAGCACTGAGGCCCGAGCTGTCTATCTACGACCTTGTTTGTGGGGTTACACTCTCAGCTCAGCTCTGGTTTGTCAGCTTGGTCAGTCTGCTGACAGACTTTGAGTGAAAGGGTAACAGACATATTCACACTTGTCAAGGCTATGCTACCTGATTTTTCATTCCTTTCCCTTGAGCTTGAGTCAGTAGCCTTAGCCACATGTGCATGGCATACTCACAGGGCTATTTATGTATGTATACATGTGTGGCATATGCATGATATATGGAGGGAAAACTGCCTGTTTGTGGAACTTTACTGGCTGGAAGGGAAACATTTGAAAAAAGCTAAAGTAATACTTTAAATGTCCTTTTAATGACCGAAGACAAAAACTTGTTTCATTTTTACAGTATCAAATAAATAAGACCGTACACAGGAGTAAGCTTGCCAAGGTTGATTACTTTCAAAGGTTAAATTAAATACCACTAACAAATCCTGATTTCAAAACAATTAAAGAGTCTTCAAATTTAATATCTGTCTGGTTAACAACAAATAATATGAGCAAATCTAAGTATAATATTTGATACTTTATTATTTAAAATATTATAATATTGTCAGACATTATTTAAAGGTAACTGGCAGTGTATACAGTATACAAATAAATTATGCTCAGGAAAGTGGACACTTGTCAGACAACTTCTTTCAGGAACCGGCTTTAATAAAGTCACGGGAGTGCATTCTTTCAGCCTGCTGTCATTCTCTGAATAGACTTCTGAAACTAATATCGGTTGAGCTTACAGTAAAAAAGAAAAGACTTTGGCAGTGAGAAAAGGCAGAGATATCATTTCACTTTTTGCAAACTGCAATTCAAGAGACTGGAGGCCACACACATATATTCCGCACTGTGCACACACAGACAAACGTCTGCAGACACTCACAGTCATACACACGTGTGTGTGCTGGCTGTGGTGACAGTGTGTTCTTGTGAATACAAGCCAAAGCAAGCGTTGGGAATAGAGTGGCAGTGCACACACATGCAGGCAGACAGTTCCCGAGGTTAGGCATGAGTAGCACTATGAGAGACTGCCAACCCGGGGCCTGAGGAAGGCACTAGGAGCCTTCACACAGCCACCAGGAAATAAGACTAGAGCCCAGAGTGGAGTGGAGCAGAGGGATCACACACTTCTGCAAACGCTTTGCACAACTGAGCCAGTCAGACCAGCACGCCATTTAAAATAAAATTATGAGGCTGTTATGGTAAAGACAATCATCTTGAGGTACCAATTCTGTGCTGAAACGTCCATGATTCCAGATTTTACTTGCAATGCTATATCTCTTTAACACCAAAAAACAATTTCTGCATTATTTCTGAAACATTACTGAACATTTAACAAGAACTCTGTAAGCATCTATACTTCATTTTACTTTCCATGTAAGTGGATTTGGATTTGGATTGGATTCTTTATGGCACAAAACATAAAAAGGTCACTGTACTTCCAATGTAAATACAATTTAAGCTTTCAGATTTTCCTACAACGGAAAAATGTCTGACAGAAATCACTTCCCATGAGTTCATTTTGGAAAAGAAAAACAACATTTGACCAAAAAAGAAATATCCCCTTTTAACACCAAGCAACAGAGTGAGATGTGATGCTAGTTTGGAGGACTAAAAATATCACTGGCATGAGGCAAAGGCCACCAATTATTTCAACATTCATTTCAACATGACAATTGTTGTGACTGTGAAACACTGATGTTTAAAAATACTACATCTAGGAATGATCCTTAATATGTGGAGGGAATCATGGAGAAAACCAAACAAACACGTCACAAGATGAATGAAAGGGAAAGCAGATTTAATCAGACTGTGACAGACCCCCAGCTTGTGTGCAAACTAGTGACTCTCCTGTCAACACTTACTACTGCGTATGCATCCATCAATGAGGCAGCCAGTGTACAATGGTGGGGTGGTGGGGACAGGACGCCACACACAGCTTGGGGAATAAAATCAACTACAACATTTGTACCTTCTATGAGCAGTTCCTGTCCATGGCTGCCCAGCAGGGTGCGTGACAGAAAGGGTGCAAAGTCCACAAAGGTTTCTCTCAGCAAAGGTGCCACCTTCTCCAAGGCTCTCTCCAGCTTTGTAGTAATACTGTCAAAGAAAAAGAAAACACATTGAGACAGAAGTCACAAAAGGAAATTTGACACATTAATTAGAGTAGAAATGTAAGGGAGGTGGCGTTGTGCCCTTCCATCAAGGGTAAGGCAGAAAAAGAGGTGTGAGAGCCTCACAGTCGACAGAGTGCACACAGCTAACAGCGGTTAGTGTGTAGTCAGACTGACAGACTCCTGGTGGGTGCAGGGGGTAACCAACAAATTTCAGAGGATGCAAATCAAGCCAGATATCTATACCAGTATAGTTGCTATCACTGGAGGTGTGAATATTTTAGAGAAGAGAAGATTTTATGTTGTTAACACATATATTTTTGCATTCAAAGAGGATTTCTCACCAGTTGTTTGCATTCTTTGTTGTGACATGTTACCAGGCTAGCACATGGGATCACAGTTGTTCAACACTGCAGAGGGAAGTTCCTTATCTTATACACACTCACTACATGCTGCTGCCTGACATTATCTAAGCACCTCAGAGAAACTGTGAGCTGGAGTCATGCAGCCATACAACTCAGACTGTATACAAGCAGAGATACGACTCAAGCTGCAACATATCTCTTTGCTCCTATGTGTACACACACAGATACTAGGCAACATGAGGAGAGTAGAAGCTTGTTTTCCCAGCTAAGATGGGCGGAAAACAGCAGGATAGTGAGAAACAGAGAGAGATGATAGGTAAGGTCTGGTTTAGGATTTGTATGAGTGCTCCTTGTATGTGTGTGTAGTGTAATCTGCCTTCTAGCACCCTGGGAAAACACAGCAGAGGGATGACAGACTAGCATAAAAAGCAGGGTGCAAGGGGTCTAGGTGGCTAACATAAATGTTCTTGCCTAAGACACTGGCCTGCACCTCTGGAGGCTGCCTGTAATCCTGTCAGGGAGGTAAAGGGTTTGAGCTCAGGAGGTGTCAGTCCCTGGCGTAGTGGACACTGGTCCACTTCACAAAAGGCACTGAAATAGAAAGAAACATGAAAAATGAAACCACAGGCAGGACTTGCTATATGATGTTTTGTGACTTAACAGTTGGGCTCATAAATTATGAAATTAGAATTAGAATTAGAAAATATATAATAAATCTAATTATATTTATTTGTTATTCTCAGTAGACCAGAGCAGGCAATTCAGCTTTGATGGGTTTTTTTTCCTCATCTAAAAAAAAGTTAGGCATCAGTAGGCTCTGAAGCCAGATAGTACTATCATTGACTTCACAGTTACACTAAGTGATGTCGGTTACTGCTGCCATGGCAACTGAATTTCTATTCCTCTAGCAGAACACACTGAAGCAAGGAGAGAGAGAGAGAGA